GCTCCGCTGCAAGCCCGGAGCAGCAGCAGCCGCCAATGTTGCTAAATATTGTCTTAAAATGTCCCCTCTTGGAATCATCGAATCGTTGAGGTTGGAAAAGACTTTGAAGATCACCCAGTCCAACCGTTAACCCAACGCTACCAAGTCCAGCACTAAACCAATTAAGGGGAGAGGAATAATTCCATGTTTCCTGGCTTGGTGGCGGTTTTATTTTTAATGAAAGTAAAAGCTAGGAATCACTAAGGTTGGAAAAAACCTCTAAGATCATCAGTCCAACCGTTAACCTAGCACTACCAAGTCCACCGCTAAACCAATTAAGGGGAAAGTCATGATTTCATGTTTCCTGGCTCGGTGGCTGGAGTATTTTTTAATGAAAGTAAAAACCAGGAATCATTAAGGTTGGAAAGGAACTCTAAGATCATCGGTCCAACCGTTAACCCAACACTACCCAGTCCACCACTAAACCAATTAAGGGGAGAGGAATAATTTCAACTTTCCTGGCTTGGTGGCTGGATTATTTTTTAATGAAAGTAAAAACCAGGAATCATTAAGGTTGGCAAAGACCTTTAAGATCATTGAGTCCAACTGTTCACCCAACACTACCAAGTCCACCACTAAACCAATTAAGGGGAGAGGAATAATTTCAACTTTCCTGGCTTGGTGGCTGGATTATTTTTTAATGAAAGTAGAAACCAGGAATCATTAAGGTTGGAAAAGACCTTTAAGATCATCAGGCCAACCATCAACCTAGCACTACCAAGTCCACCACGTCTACATGTCTTTTAAATACCTCCAGGGACGGGGACTCCACCGCTTCCCCGGGCAGCCTCTTACATCCTGTTTTTATTTTGCTGTTGTTGCTTTTTTCTAAAGTTACGGAGTCTCCCTGCAAAAACCTTTGAAGTCACACGTGTGTATACGCACATATACACGTGGTTGTATACATACATGCACACTTTTATCTCTCTCTTGGAAGAACACCGAGAACTTAAAAATTGCCTGGCTTTTCTGGCCCAAATAGTTGAGTTTAATACCTCTAAAAGGAAATGAAAGAGGATGGGTGAGTCACGAACTCTTCAACAACGGCTGGAGAAACCAATGGTACAGTGTCCCACTGGCTCTCGGGGAACGAACGCCTCCGATGTTACACCTGGCCCTGGCTAGGGCTTGAAGGGTAGCTTCAAAAATACGTTTCCTTTTCCTCCATGCCTCCCAAGGATTTAATTCTGGGACACTTGGCCCATTTCTATATCCACCTAACGCACGCGATCGCTCGTTTGCCTTTACACCGACGGGGCACGTAGGCACAGCTAAATTAAACCAGCGAAATTAAATGGCTAATATTGCTAAATAGCGACTTAAAATGTCCCCTCTCGTCCCCCACCAAGGGTAGCTACGCCCTGGTGAAAGGCTCCGAGGAAGATGCTGCTCTGGACCTGCCCTGCAGCCCTACGCGTCCCCCCAGTTGGGGGGCAAATGCCTGCACCCCTCTTCTTGCTCCGCGGCTGGCAGGGCACGCGCAACTCCCTGCATGCCCACCCCAGGGCCCTTTGCTGGCTCGCAGGGGCCGCAGCGCATCCTCACCGCGAAGGACGAAGCAGGGAAAAGCCCTGCTTTTCCTTGGGGAAAAGAGGGGGGACGTGATCCCGCTCCTTGCCTGGAGCCAGCCCAGAGCTGCAGCCCAGGGCTTGGCCCTTCCCACAGCCCCAGGAGCTGCTGGACGA